AACAGGTAGGTGTTTTAAGTCTCTTTCATCCTATCTAGTCATTTCAAGTGAAGAATGCTCTCTAGGGATCACTGCTGGAGGGAGATACAAGCAGAAGGGAAGCATTCTATGAACTCTTGCATGGATTCAATGAGCCCGTGGGGTCTGTTGCTAGTCTCAATGTATGAGTAGTCAGTAAATCCAACTGTGGTGTGACAGCCTGACCTTTGTAATGTGTGCTAAAAGAACATATAATTGCCGTCTACCCTTCAGAGCCATTGCTCTACATTAATGTGAAATCAAAGAGCCTCTTCCCTCTCTTGCTTTCATATCAAGTGCATAATTTACAGCTGTTTGGCATTGGTTTCTACCCAGCTACTGCTTCATCACCGTTCCGAAGAAGATTTGTGGATGCTACTTTGATTTTGCTCCTCTTTCTTCAATGTCCCTTCCTTGGTAGAATGGCCTTACTGATTGGGTAAGCATTTTGAGCAACAGCTGCAGGCAAGGAGCTGGTAATTTGAAATTAAAAGAAGACCATGACGCTGATAGAACTATTAGACTTGGCCCTGTCAGACTGAATTTGATATAATCTGTGATTCATTCCAGTGTCAGTCTTAAAGTAACAATGTTAGACACAATTAGCCTGAATTAGATTGGCCACATCCTTTTCACATTTATCTGTATTCTCATTCAGAATTAACTTGACAATCCATTTGCTTGGTATCAATCGTTCATTCACGACTTGAGTTCAGTTAGATACAAGAATTCATGAATAAAGTTCTGTGAACAGCGGCTAAGTCAGCTATATTTTTAGCAGAGGTTATTATGTAGATGTTCTCTTTTCCCTGGTATCAAAGTTAAGTAAATAAATTGGCAAATTTGTATATCAAACACTTCAATTAACATAATAACATAGCAAATTATGACTTTTAAAGCCAGTAAAGTACTGAAAAGATGCAGGATTAATGCAACATGTGACCATCAAAAGCAAAATATATAATTGTCATCTGACTGTTCCATACCTTGTAGAGCATGCTTTCACGAAGTTAAAAGTAGTGTTCTGACTTTATACTCCAACAAATCCTGCACAAAACCTATTAAATATAAAACACCACTATCTCAGTGGTTTTGAAAGCACATTGTCACAAGAAGTGAAAATGGCCTGTCTATGGTCATAGCATGGTCTCTTCACATTCTAAAGTTCTCCCAGATATTCATCCTCTAAAGTTGGACTTATTTTTCTCCCTTTGCTAGCAAGAGTAAAATCTAAGCAGCAAAATAGAGCTAACACACATTGAGCCTCATTTTTATTCTACTGGTCTATTTGGATTTACTGACAACTCAGTCACTGGAGCTCTGTTAATAGAACATTTTCATTGTTCTGTTAGTAGAAGTGGGAACCAAAAATTGTTTTAACAGGTATAATAGTCTGGCAAATGTATAGAAGGAAAGCAAAGTTTAAACAATGTAAATATGGTATAATCCATGTGCATTCCACTGCAACAGACTCTGGAGAGCTTATAAAATCCAATAAAAAACAGTTAAAACATTATGCCTGTTGATGGGTATCTGCTTAGAAAAAGGTCTGTTTATTTTAGATATATGGTTTAAGCTTAAGTCTATTCACACATACCCATGACAAACTAATTAATATAAATCCAAAAGCATATAACTGGTGTGATTGCATAAAATGGAAGGAGAAGAAAATGAATGAAGGCCATAAAGGCTAAGGCTGGCAAAGCAGGAACCAACAATTCCATTTGAAATGGAGTGGCATCTTAGCCCCATAAATGAATGTCTGAATTCTCAACCTGGACATAATAATTGTGTAAATATGGAACAGATGGCTATGCCACTCAAAGCTGAGAAAAGAATTACCAAAATGGTGTTGGCGTAAAAGAATAGGAGCAAAATACTAGGGTTTTAACCTTAGGGCTGGCATTACAGAGGACTTGATTTCCTGAAATCCCAAAGGACTTGATGTCCTGAAATATGTCTGTCTGTCTAGCTACACAACAATCACACCTTGTTTGCAGTAAAACAGCTTATCTAAACTATTGACTGTGTGTAGCTTGAATATGTGATTACATTTCCAGACAGCTTTATTCAAGATGACAGCAAGATGCGTCTACTCATTTTCTGAATGCTACTGGATCGTTCATATACTGATCCCAGATTAAATGATGGCTACAGATTCACAACCCTGCTAACCATTTTTTATAATTACCATATGATGGAAATCCTGACAATTTTAGTATTTTCTTTGAAAAGTGTGACTTTTACAACTCTTAAAGATGTGAATACTCTCCCATGTGAGATTTCTAATACTAGCATGAACTGCAGAAGGGGCAACTGCTGGACTGGTAAAGGTAAAGGTTCCCCTCGCACATATGTGCTAGTTGTTCCTGACTCTAGGGGGGCGTGCTCAACTCCGTTTCAAAGCCAAGGAACCAGTGCTGTCCAAAGATGTCTCCATGGTCATGTGGCTGGCATGACTAAACATCAAAGGGGCAGTGGTCCCTATTTTTCTTCTTGCATTTTTACTTGCTTTCAAACTTCTAGGGTGGCAGAAGCTGGGACAAGTAATGGGAGCTCACTCCATTATGCGGTGCTAGGGATTCAAACACCCAAACTGCTGACCTTTCTGACTGACAAGCTCAGCATCTTAGCCACTGAGCGCACTGTGTCTCTTGAGCCACCGCATCCCCGCTGGACTAGACACTGTGCCAATTCTGTAACAAACTGACAATTTCATCAACCCAATCATACATATATCAGCCTTTAAGGTAGAACACACTAGAAAAATAAAATCATGTAGACCAATACAACTTTAATTGTAAAGATATAATAACAGAATCTTGCATGCCTGAACTCACCTCCTTCCTTTTATTTCATGAGAACTAGGAAGCATCTTGCCTGAGACATTTTATCAGGTTACATTTCTGTCCCAGACTCAGCTCTCCTTTATCTAACCATTGTCTTTTACTTTCCTTCGATCCCTCAAGGCTATTCACTCTTCCTCCTATAACAGGTGACCATAAACCGCAATAAAGAGAAAGAGAGAAAAGTCACTGCAGGGGTATACTGCTTCAGTTCTTAGCTCAGGATGGGCTGGAATGAAAGAGGCTTAAATGACTAGTTTAAAGAGGGATTATCAGATAAAAGACAGGAAAAAATCAGTTGTCAGGGCATTCCAGAGGCTTTTTTTTCCCGGCATTAATCAGATCTGCCTGAGTATTGATGGAAAACTGGAAGAATTGTGACATGGATGGGAGAGGAAGGCATCACATTTATCTTTCATTTTGTCATTCCCCCCCACTCCTCCATTTATTAGAGATTCAGAAGATGAATTTTATGCTGAAGTAGTGAAAATCTGTGCGAATCTATTGTTGTCTGGGAAAGAGATGTAGATGTTGATGTTGCAGTTATTCTATTCTAGGTAGGAAGGGGTGATGGAACCTGTAGCTTTTTGTGTCTGAAGCTTTATTATAAATTTATTTTTAACTTTGCTGTGCTAACTATTCAGCTGATTATCTTATAACAGAACAACAGAGTAGGAAGAGACCTTGGAGGTCTTCTAGTCCAACCCCCTGATCAAGCAAGAAGCCCCATACCATTTCAGTCTAATGTTGTTCAGTTGTCCATTCTCTTTTTAAAAACCTCTGATGTTGGAGCACCTACAACTTCTGGAGGCAGTGGCTCCACTCATTAATTGTTATAATTGTTCTGATTGTTCTAACCTTATCAAGATAGGTTTTATGTAGTGTATATTGGAGGTGGTGACCTTTTGAGAGCTGTATACAACAACGTTTCATTTTAATGTATGCCGATTCGTGTCGAATTAAAGTAACAATAAAGCAATTCTAAGTTTAAGTCTAAGAAGGTTGTTCTGTTTAAGAGGGTTTCAAATACCCAACATACACATCAAGACTTTCTTTTACTCAAATAGGTACCCTGTTTCCCTGAAAATAAGACCTCCCCAAATAATAAACCCAATCAGGCTTTTGAGCGCATACGCTAAAATAAGCCCTCCCCTGAAAATAAGCCCTCCCTGAAAATTTTGCAAGACAGTAGCAGCCATGAGATGACCACGCTCACCACCTCCTTCACTTCAAAAATAATTAGACCTCCCATTAAATAAAGACAAGGGCTTATTTCAGGGGTCAAAATAAAATAAACCCTGCCTTATTTTCGGGGAAGCATGGTATTTGCTTCTCTTCCCATTCTCTACATTCTACCCATGCTTTATTGTACATATTAATGCTTTGAATTTCACCTTGAGAGCTGAACTTTTTACAACCCCATATAGAACTGATGGATAGCCAAGTATATTCCTTTTCAGGAAATTCCTTCCAGCCCACAATTAAAGGAATTGTGACTTTGTTTTTATCAAGGACATTATGGTCCTCAGAACAAGCCTTTCAACACTGGTGTCATCTCAAAGAGTCAAAATATCTTCTCAAGGTGCAAACTGACCTCAGGAACTGGAAACATTTACAGACTTCTTCATACATACCCAGTGCCATAGTTAGATGAATTCCCTTCCTCCTCTTTTCAATTTTGCATCATAGACAGTATATAACTAGCGCAAACAAACAAATAGATGCTTTATTCAACAACTTGGAACAATTCTTATTTGTGTATTTATCAAATTTTGAAACTACCCATCTCCCTCACAGATAATTATTCCACAATCCTCCTTTCACTTCTGTTTGCTCCTGTTTCTGACCACTCTGTGAGCTCCTCGGGCTAGAAGGGAGACACCGTCCCTGCTTGATTAATTTATCCTCTGAAAGACCAAGATCTATATAGATGGAGGATCATCTCCTTGTCTTCTCACTCCTGTTCTCCTAGGAGAAAGACATGGTTGGAGTTGAAGAGATCCTCACAAACAGATTAGTAATGGCTTTAGAGAAGAGAACACACAAAGATGGATGTGATAAAAGCAAGAATGGTTTACAAGTATAAAAATGTATGGAGAGAGATAGTGAATCGTATTGGTATAAATGAGATTCAACCTGTCCTCCCATTATGCAGACATATTTCTAATTTTTCTTCTTACCCCATGTCTTTAATTCCTTTGGCTTACTGTCTCTGCATAATGTTGTTCACCCTGAAAGGTGGTGGCATAAATGCATAATGTACATAAATATACATATGCATATGCATATGCATATGCATATGCATATACATATACATATACATATACATATACATATACATATAC